TCAGAAAATATCTTCCATTGTCCAACCCATGATCTGACAGCTTGTATCTTAAGCTTTCTTGGCTTCTGTGATTCCAAACACATCAACTGCTGACATTTTTTTTTTCTTTTGACCAGTGTCTCTTAAGTTTAGTTGTACTGTCTCCAAGGAAGGTGACGTGCCCTGTAGAACACCTGTGTAGATTATGTTTTCCTTTCCGCCAGTTTTTCTGTGTACCTTTGAAAGATGCCTCTTCGTTATTATCTGAGGTGACTTCCCCCTGTGCGCAGCTTCCAGGCTTCCCTTCCGCCCAGGGGCACGTTCTCCCTGTTTGAATTACACAGTGGGAGATTGCCTATGTTTTTCTCAAGGTGCAGATGGTGGATTTGAACTATGTGCCTCAGGATTGGCAGCACCACTTCCTTAGCACAGCTCCCTACTGAGGAAGTTAATAAGTTGCAGGTTGGAAATAGGCTACACTTCTTCAGTCAGCACAGCTTCTCAATTGTACTCACAGATCCTTTGACCTTTAGCATCAGGACTTCAGGTTCCTGTTAAACTCTCTTAATTCTGACATTATTTACTAATTGTTGTTGTTGTGCACTGTCTAGGTGGAACTGACTCATAGCTGACCCTCCAGTGGGTCTTCAGAGAGAGTAAATCGCGAGGGAGGAGATTGCTCATCTTCATCTGCAGAGAAGCTGATGGATTCAAATCCCTTGTCTTCAGGTGGCAGAACAGCTCCTTAGTAGTAAGCCACCAGAGCTCCCTAATTGGAGGTCAGTGCACGGGTTTTATTTCCCTGAAAGAGAACCTTTGGGTGAAGATATTTTATGAGCAGTTAACTTTCTCATTGTGATTTCCTATGAAATTGAGAATTATGTAATTAAATGAAAGCTTAAAAAGTCACTTCTACTAATCATGTTTTTTATTCATATTTTATATATTTGCCTTTGGTACACTATTAATTTAATAATAATATATGAAATGTATTGACAAAATATTAATTTACAGTTTTGCATTTTTTCCAGAAACCATGGTTGGAGGATCACAAGTCCACATTTTTTGGGGTGCTCCAGTTCTTCCACTGAAGATGACAGCATCACAAAAGCCAACTTTGTTAAAATCTACTGCCAACCCTTGGGAAAAAATCAAACTTTTGTATGACCATCAGTCTTTCCATTTGAAGGATGAAAAATTCAAACACATCAACCTTAAAAATTGTCAACTTGTAGACAGTGTTGGCCCTCCAGATTCTAATAGCCATTGTTCAGTGGACTCCAACAAAAGATCTGTCCATTTGGAAGATGAATTTATATGTTATTGTTCTGAGACACAGGCCACAAAACCCCAGAATAGCCCCCTGTCAGCGATGCATGATATAGTGGATCCCAGTGTACAAGTAAGTGGATTTAAGGACAGAGTTCAACATTTAACTGAAGAACAAAAATTTGTCAGTGAAAATGAGAAAATCCTAGTTAAAGAGCATAAAAATCAATCAAATAGCTGCGTTCCAAACTTTAATAAAACAACTGTACAGTTAGATCATAAATGCACAGCTATACTTGATTTGGTCTGTACTACCAAACAAATTAATATAGGGCCAGAAGTTACAAAAACTGTGTGTGCGCCAAGAGCACATTATGAAATGCTGGAATTCTTTCCCTCTAAAACAGTCGACAAGTCAGGATCTAAAGAAGCCATTAAGAAGGTCTCAAACTTTACAGTATCAACTGATACTGAATTTCTCAGTGTAATGACCTCTAGCCAGGTTGCTTTTTTAGCTCAGGGGATATATAAAAAGCAGAATTCACTTAATAAAGGGACAATAAACATAGAGACTGGATCAAAAGCAAGTCATGAGGAAATAAGTGTAACAGAAGATAATTTGATTCAGCTTAGTGATGATTTTGTAGAAGGATGTGAAAATAGACAAAATGAAGCATGCTCTCTGGAACTCTTTAGTCCTGTTTGTCCTGAAATGAAAAGTAACCACAGTCTCATAACCTCTGAGAAGGATCTTAAAGATCAGAAATATTCCAGTTCTGAAGAACACCTGCCACCAAATGAGGTCTGTATTGAGCCATGTAGCTCAGGAATACTGTGTTCCCAGCTCACTGTCTTTCATAAAAGTTCTGTTAAAAGAAACTGCATGTCTGAAGAAAAACCAGGCCATTCTAAGTCTCTGTCTAAAGTCTTCCAAGTATCTAAAAAAACGAAGTTGCTTTCTAATGCAAGAAAACCTACTGTGAAACTAGACCAGAAGAATGGGTCTGAATTTAAGCATAGTAGAAAAACAACTTTAATAAAGAATTGTGATTATAAGAATCAGAAGTATAATTGTTTAGTCTTGGTATTGTCTCCATGTCATGTGAAAGAAATAAACATAAAATCAGGACCAAATGCTGGTTCTAAAGTACCTTTAGCCACAATTACAGCAATCGACCAATCGGAAGTTAAGAAGAAAGTTTTTTTGTGGCGGACAGCAGCGTTTTGGGCACTAACTGTGTTTCCTGGAGACATCGTTTTACTCACAGGTGAGATCAGCATGGTGTATGATAGTTTGATTTAGAGAGCTGTGTTGAGTGTTTGATTGCTTTCCTCCCTCACTCCTTTCCTTCCTAAGGACTAGTTACCATCTTCCTCTTCTTGGCCCCAGCATGAATGATCCTGTCACATACATCCCACTGGTCTCCTTGTCACTCCCTGGTATCCTGCTCGCTGCCATTTCTTGGTCCTTGCTCTGCCCTTCATATTTCTGTTTCTCCTTTCCAAGCTCTTCTTTCAAAGACCTTTCTTGATTGCCCGTCTTATTCATTTATTATGTTCATGTTCAAGTATTAACATTGTGCTTGTTCTTTGTTTCTTCTGGGTGTATCTTAACAAGGACAGCAGCATAATAGTCACTTCATTACTTTTGTGTATTAAGTTTGTTTTAATTGCATTGTGAAAATACAGAAAGGAGGATGTATAAAGAGGAAAGATTTCATGGGGGCAGCTATATCTGAACTTTACCAATTTCACAAAGAGAAGCTGTTCCCTTCAACAACATTAACAACACAAAACCAATTCCCCTGAGGTCAGACCTGTCCCCCCACACTCCCACACCTCTTTCTACTCATCTCAACACCAATCTTACAGCTTTCCTGGGTCCAAACTCCAATGCAGCAGCTCACAGACCACACAGAACCATATTGGAGAAGTCAATAGGCCATAATTCAGGTTAGTAGCAGAATACAATCAGCTTCTGAAATGTCTTCATAGTCACCTCAGCTTGGATCCTCGTGGATCCTCATGGCTTTAGGCTAGTGCTACAAAATTCTCAGACCTGCCAATTATGACTCTTCTCCCCTACAGTCCTCCCACAAACTTGGGTAAAAGCTCTTAGCTCTGGTTCAGTGGTGGAGCCATCCCCAAATCCCAGCTTTTGTCAGGTCTCTGGCTCTCTGCAGTGCCTGTTGCCCCTGTTCCTGTAGGCCCTCACCTGGCTAGTACAAGAATCCCTGGCTCTGGAGGGCACACTACATTCTCTTTGCTGACCATGAAGTTTCAGCTGTTCTGCTGCTGGAACGAACCACTCATTTTATTAGTGAGACTACCTAATCCCCTTGTGACTAGACTAACATGCCCTATTCACATATTCCCTCCTGTCCACATGACAAGGTCAAATTCAGTGGCTAGGAAAGCCATTTTGAACACTAAACTCTTCACACCACAAAGGGAAAAGGTTAGTATCATACCAACCTCAATAAAATTTTGGAGTGATACCTTCTAGTCATTTTCCCTATGTTCTTTAAAATATGTATAAAACTTTGTAATAGCTGGTACTTGTTCATACAGTCAGTGTAAGTTGTACTTAACAGCACCTAACAACAACAAGAACATTGGAGCCTTACTTTGTATCAGTTATAAACGCTTTTCATGAACATCAAGTTGTTGTTACCTGCCGTGGTATCAACCACAACCTATAGCGACCCTGTGCACAATAGCTCTGAACCCTGTTCCATCCTAGGCCAATCTCACTGTCTCTGATACACCCACCCTTGTTACCTCAGTCACTGTGTCAATCCATATCTTCTGGGGTCCTCCTCTCTCACTGTCTCTCCACCCTAATCAAATAATTACAACAGCTATATTAGGAAGCTATTCATTATTATCCCCATTTTTCATTTGAGGAAGCTGAGGGCGAGAGAAAGAATTTGTTTAGTGTCACACATCTAAAAAGAGGCAACACCGTGGTTTGAACTGGGTTGATTGAAGCAGGGGAGAGATCATGAAGATGACACAGCTAGGGCTGGGTCTGTTGTCTCTAGGGTCACTGTGGGTCATAGGTCACACGGTAGCCCCTAAAAGTAGCAGCATTGCTCCAGTGGGTCCCCAAGGGACACAGATGGTTTGCACTCAGTGGCCGACCTACTCAGCAGCAGTAAGAAAGAAGGGCCTGCTGGTCATCAAACCCAGAAAATCCTGTGGAGCACTTGTATACTGTGGCACGTGGGGTTGCTGCAGGGCTGAATTGACCAGCTGGCAATTGTGTGGTATTATCAGTATCTTTATAAATCTGATCTTTATCTTTCAGTGTTACATATAAACTTACAGGTAGGATGACAGAAAAACATTACTGTAACACATGGCATTACTAATGATATGTTTTTTAAAAGGATTTTAGTAAGCACAGTTTGTCATAACTCAAATATCCCATAAGTAAGGACTACTTTCTTAAAAAAAATTTATTATTATTAATTTTAATGGAAATTTACAGAGACTTTGGATTTCCATTCATTCATTGCACTCTTCTCCCTGCCCACACCGCCCCTCCCCCCCAGTACACTCTTCTCTTTGAAAAGTAAAAGAAAAATTCTTTCATTGTTTTACAATCCCTCCCCCCAGGCCCACTCCACTATGCAACCTTCATTCTGGACCCCTGTCATGACAATTATACCTAATCACATATCCCTTTTTAACAGTTTTCTTGTCTGTTTCAATGCAGTATACATTATTTATCCCATCTTTCTCAGTCTCCCCCCGACCCCGATGTCTGTCCTTGTTTTACAAGAGTGGCACTATGCAGTATTTGTTCCTGTGTGACTGAGATATTTCACTCAGCATAATGTCCTCCAGGGTCACCCATTTTGAATAATATTGCATGAGTTCCTTGTTTTTTAATGTAGCATAGTATTCCATTGTGTGAATATATCAGAGTTTCTCTGTTCATTCATTTGTTGATGGGCACTTAGGTTGTTTCCAACTCTTTGCTATGAACAAAGCCGCAATAAACATGGGTGTGCATATATCTGCTTGGATGTCAGTTATGGTCTCTTTGGGGTATATTCCTAGTAGTGGAATTGCTGGGTCTAATGGTATCTCTATTTGCAACTTTTTGAGAAAGTGCCACATTGCCTTCCACAGTGGTTGCACAGGACTACTTTTGTGTTGTCACATGACTTTAGAATCAGTATACAATGTTAGAACAGAGATATATTATTTTAAGAAGGTAAGGAGAAGGGGAGCTCTGGTGGCCTAGTGACAAGGAGCTGCAACTACAATCCCAGAGGCAGACGGTTCGAATCCACCAGATGCTCTGCTGGGAAAAGGAGGGACAGTCTCCTCCTGTACCAGTCAGATCTGATTTGACGCTACACTCACACAAAAATAATTAATTAATAACTAACTAAATAAATAAATAAAAATTAAAAAAAAAAAAAGAAGGTAAGGAGAATCTCCTCACCAGTAGGAAATTGGTTAAGCATGATAACACATCTGAAGAAGTCTAGGTCACTCTTAGGGCTTACAAAAAGAAACTTCAGGCAGTCATTGTTAATTCTCACCACTGTGCAGGGGAATGAAAAGCTCAACTTGTGTATTTGGACTTTGTAATGAACAGGCTGCATTGTCTGCCTCAATCCCTCCTCTCTTTTAAAAACTATGGTTTGAGTGAAAGTTCATAGAGCATATTTTTTTTTCCGTTTTAAAATAAAGTTTTTGTAAGCTCTAGTGGCTTTCTTCTAGGTCATATAGCCTTGGTGTATCCACTTGCCATACAGATGCAACTTGTGATCACTGTAAAGCTGAACACTGTGACACTGAAGTGTCAAATGTGATAATGGTTACCCATGGCGGACAGTGTTTGGTGTCATTTCCTGGCTAAAACAAGCTTGGAAGCAGGAGTGGCATCCACTTCTGTAAATAGCTTACCTCGGGAAACCCTATGAACATGGAGAAAGGATGAAAGACAGGCAACTGTCGAGGGCTTTCATTCATAGGGTCACTATGAGTCGGCTATGACTTGACGGCACTTAACAACAACTACTGGCCTAATGGTGGAAGCCCCACTGCAATCCCAAAGGCAGGTGGTTAGAGTCTACCAGCTGCTTTGCAGGTGAAAGATGGGCAGTCTCCTCTTGTGCAGTTAACTGCCTTTGAAAACCTGCTGGAGTGTCAGCTATGGGTCAGTTCTGACTCAGCAGTACACAGCAACAACAACAGTGCATAAGGGCTAGAGGGAATATATATTTTTTTGATTCATGACTTTAATTGCAGTCCCCTTAGTGTAAGAGAACGCTTCTGCCTATCTTCTTGGCTTCCCCATTTCTATTTGTCCTTCTTTCCCTTCCCTTCTTGCCTCCTGAGGTTTGTGTTTGGACAAATGCAGTCCTTTTCCAAGCACTATCATCTTACTTGTTTCCATTCACCCAGTTTTCTGTGTTCAGATATGGAGCTTATAATGGTAACCTTTTACGTGCACTTCACTTTCCAGCTGCAGGACTGCCTACAAGGTGAGAATAGGCTATATGCATTCTCTCTTGGACAATTGGTATCTCATTGTAAGTTTTTAATAATTGTCTTTGGTTTTATATTTGTCTCATCTACTTATTTAATGTGTGCTTATGATGGAAAACGGAAATCTTTTCTGGGATGTGACAAAATCAGGTTTTCGGGCTGTCCAGGCCATTTCTGTGTTAGCTTCCCCAAGATTCTTTGAACCTCTCAGAGGCCTCTCCTAGGTGGATACAATCCACCCTGTACTCTCTTCCTTTTCCCCTACAGTTGATAGCAACTAGGTAACTCTCTGTCAGTTGACTTTACAACAATTTGTTAACCATTTCCCTTTTGGAGAATGCTTAAATTTTTTTTCTGTGAGTACATTTTTTTAAAAACTATCTCTAGTGACCTAGTGATGAAAAGCTGTACAGCAATCCCAAAAGTATGTGATTTGAATCCACCAACTTCACAGGAGAAAGATGGCAGTCAATTCCCATGGGATTTACTGCCTCTGAAAATCTGCTGGAGGATCAGCTGTGGATTAGTATTGACTCTGCAGCACACAACAACAACAACTGTTTAAATATCTATTGCTGGGGAAGAGTATATTGAGCAGATTGATATGATAAAATCAGTAGATGAGCTCTTAGGGACAAAGGCTGGTTAGGAAAAGATAGGCATTCAGAACAACTTCAAATTTCATTAATCTGATTGGTAACAGTACCAAACAATGACATGGGTCCTATGAGAGGAAAACCAGATTTCGATGACACTGAATTTGGGGAAGCTATTAGAACTTCCGTGAATTCCGGATCCATGGGAACCAAAATATGACTTTGAGTTCATCCCACCTGAATTTCCGAAACATCTCAGGAACAGGTTTGACGCCTTGAACACTAATGAGCGAAGACCTAATGAGTTGTGGGAGGACGTCAAATGTATCATCCAGTAAGAGTGCAGATGGTCATTACAAAGACAGAAGAGGGGGGGGGAAAAGACCAAAATGGATGTCTGAAGAAACTCTGAAGATTGCACTGGAGTGCAAAGAAGCCAAAGCACAGGAAGAATTCAAGATACTAAAGAGCTGAACAGAAGATTCCAAAAGGCAGCATGGAATGACAAAGCAAAATATTACAATGAAATGTGCAAGGAGCTGGAGTCGGAAAATCAAAAGGGCCGAACTTGCTCAGCATTTCTCAAGCTCAAGGAACTGAAGAACAAATTCAAACCTTGAGTTGCTATAATCTAGGATGCTTTAGGAAGAATATTAAATTATCCAGGAAGTATTAAAAGAAGACGGAAAGAATATACTGAGTCACTGTATCGAAAGGAATTGGCAGACACAGAAGAATTTAATGAAATAACTTATGAGAAAGCCTATGGTGATGAAGGAAGACATTCAAGCTGCTTTGAAGGAAATAGCAAAAAGAAAAAAGGCCCCAGGAATAGATGGTATACCAATTAAGGTATTTCGGCTAACAGATGCTGCCCTGGACATGCTCACCAAGTTGTGCCAAGAAATCTGGAGAACAACCACTTGGCCAACTGAATGGAAGAGATCTATATTTGTTCCCATTCCAAAGAAAGGTGACCCAACAGAATGTGGAAACTATAGAACAATATCATTGATTTCACATGCAAGCAAGATTCTACTGAAGATTATCCAAAAATGACTGGAACAGCACATCAGCAGAGAATTGCCAGAAGTCCAGGCTGGGTTTAGAAGGGGTCGTGGTACTAGGGATATTGTAGCTGATGTTAGATGGATCTTAGCTGAAAGCATGGAATACCAGAAGAATGTCTATCTGTGTTTCATTGACTATGCAAAGGCATTTGACTGTGTGGATCATAACAAACTTTGGCTGACTCTGAGAAGAATGGGAATCCCAGAACACTTAATCATGCTAATGCAAAACCTGTACTTGGACCAAGAGGCACTCGTCAGAACAGAGCAGGGTAACACTGCATGGTTCAAAATTGGGAAGGATGTACGCCAGGGATGTGTCCTATCTCCATACCTTTTCAACCTGTATACAGAACAGATTATCCGAGAGGCTGGGCTCTATGAGGAGAAGTGTGGCATCAGGATTGGTGGAAGATCTGTCAACCATCTGCATTAGGCAGATGACACAACCCTGCTTGCTGAAACTGAGGAGGACCTGATGCACTTGCTGCAGAGGGTCAAGGACTGCAGCCTTAGTGTGGATTGAGGCTCAATGTCACGAAGACAAAGATTCTCACCACTGGACCAATTGGCAGCATCAGGATGGATGGTGAAGAGATTGAGATTGTTAACAACGTTAGTTTGCTTGGCTCCATGTTCAACCAGCAGCCAGAAATAAAAAAAATGTATTGCGATGGAAAAGTCTGCTGTTAGGGACCTCTCCAGGGTACTGAAGAGCAGTGGTGTCACTCTGTATACTAAGGTGCTGAATCAGGCCATGGTCTTTGCAATCACTTGTTATGCATCAGAGAGTTGGACAATGACTAGGGAGGATAGAAGGAGAATTGATGCCTTTGAGCTGTGGTGCTGGAGAAGAGTATTGAATATACCATGGGCTGCCAAGAAAGCCAACAGATTCGTTCTGGAGAGTGTTAAACCAAGCTGCTCCTTGGAGGCAAGGATTCTGGGGCTTCGTCTGACATACTTTGGACATGTTGTAAGGAGGGACAGGTCTTTGGAGAAGGGCATCATGCTTGGGAGGGTAGAGGGACGACGCAGGAGGGGAAGACCCTCCATGAGGTGGATTGATTCAGTGAATGGGGTAATCAGGATGGGTGTGCCAGAGGCAGTGTGATTGGCACAGGATAGAGCAGGTTTAGGGTTGTTGTACATAGGATCGCTGTGAGTCACAAGGGACTCAATGGCACATAACAACAACAACAACATTAGAACTTCAGAGCAGAAGAGCCTATTATACATTGTGAATAAATGAATCTATAGCTGAGGAAGCAATCACTTAGAATTTATATATTTTTCTTTTCCATGTTCTCTAAATTATTTTGCTACTGTGAATATACCTTTATTTCTCTAATACTTTGTATCCTAATTATATCTTGCCTGGGATACCTGTTTCTATCTTCACAGTTTTTATTTCCAGTTTTTCTCAATTTCAAAGTTTTCCCCTAGAACAGTTTTGTACCTATTGGTGTGTTTAATTCACTAAGTGATTATTCTTTATCAAAAGAATCCTATAAAAAATATCTAAGAGAAGTGCAAAAAAGAATCATAGTCTTATAGTTCTTTTTGTCACTGAAAAGTGCTCCTTACTTCCCAGGTCTTTATTTGACATCTGTTTAAGAAAGATGATCTCATACCATGTTATTGCTGTTGTTATTGTTGAGTACCTTAGAGTCGGAACCAACCCATAGCTGACCCATGGGTTTTCAGAGGCAGTTAATCACCTGGGAAGAGATTACCCATTCTTCTTCCAACCATACCATATAGAGGAAAATAATAACCAGAATCCTCCAGCAATGCCTGATATTAAGATATGCTCAGTAAAAAGGATAAATGCAAGCGAAGTATTACTAGCTCTTCTTGGCACCACTGCTTTAAAACTATTACTTTACTTCTTGGTCCTGAAAATTTTTCTTTTTTTAACAGTCATTTTATATTTTCATTTTTATAGATATAACCTCCTTTCTTTTTCATTTACTTGAAATACGCATTTGTTGTTCGTAAGACAATGACATTCAGTCTTTCCCTGTAGTTCAATGAGTTTCCATGCTGATCCAAGTTTGAATATATGAAAGCAGCTCTGGTGTTTTACTTTATAATGACACAACTAGGCTCTAATGTTCAAGTTGCTGTTTTATCATATGGTGCCTTTAGGCAGACTGTTTAACCTTGGTTGCCTGGGCTGTGGGAGGCATGAATAATGTGAAGGAATTCATGGCATGATGAAAACTTGTCTCTTCTCTAGATGTTACTATTTATGAGGATCAGTGGGCTGGTGAGACAGCACTACAGTCAACATTTTCCAGTCAGTTGCTGAATCTTGGGCGTTACTCATCTGTCCAGCCTAAAGAATGTAAGACACATTTTGAATGTAATAATTTTTTTGTGTTTAGATTATACAGAGTTTCATATTCTTTCTTAACAAATTAACATTTATTTTCTTCAGTAAGAATGAAAATAGAAATATTAAAAATGAACTTGTGTATTGTATTCAAATGTTTCCTTTTCTTATTTTCCTTGGAGAGTTACTATAGCGGTAATTCTTCACCTTTTTGAAAATTGTGTGCTTTGTGAAGTTGTCACCCATTTCTTCAGATAAGTAGATTTCTGTAAACAGACACAAACTTTGGCATGCAATTCCAAGTAATTCATGTACCTGTTAATTTCTTTTTTTCAAACTCATTAACCTCTGGTTCAGAAACTTGGAGTAATGGAGGAAGCATAGCCTGTGATCAGACAGCTGTGGTTTGGGTGCTTCTTCTTCTCTCTGCCTCTGTAGGAAGAAATTTGTCCGTTTTCCTATGTAGCATGATAGACATCTATTGCTACTTAACAAGTCATCTCAAAACTAAGTGGTCTAAAACAACCCTATTCTTCATTCTCTTGGATCCAATTTCTCTTGTTTAAATTAATCTATTGAAGAAAGTAGGAGCTGCTTTTTTTTTTTTTTAGGAAAGAAGAAAGGAAAAGGGAGACATTATGAACTAATAGTTACAGTTTCTGGAGCCAGTGACCATGTTTTAAATCCTGGCTTCACTACTACCAAAGTCTCTGGTCTTTAGGCAAGTTTTTTAACCTCACTTTGTCCCCCTCTTGAAAGGAGAGTTAAATGTATAAATACCATGGAGAGCTGTGATTCAGTTAGATAATGAATATCAGGTAATATAGTTATATTAATGTGAGAAGTAATAATGTAGTAATATATATTTGACAGAAAACTGAAATTGTGTAGTAGGAACTGGTTCAGTTTAACAGCCCACAGACAACTGAGTCCTGCCAACAACCATGGACATGAGCTTGGGAGTGGATGTATCCCTCACCATTCTAGACTTGAAAGAACTGAGTCCTTGCTTGTACCTTGATTACAGCTTGAGTCCTTGACTGAGAGGCCCCAGATTAGTGGTGAGATTCTTAACACACAAACCTGAAATGGTGTTGTTTTACGCCACCATGTTTTGAGATAATTCTGCTAGGTAGCAATAGATACCTAAGGCATATCTAATAGAAAAATAGATAAAGAAGAAATATCCATTTCACAGAAGAAGAAATATGTATGTCCTATAAACATCTGGATAGGTAGTAAGCAACATTAGTGATCAGGGAAAGGCAAATAAAGACCTACAGTAAAACTAAAGCAAAAAAAATTTCTCTTAATTAAATCTATCTTACTCTATCATTGAAATGCACATGTAAAAAAATGGTTGAAATGACAAATATTTTGTTTTATGTATTTTTTAACCAAATACAAATAAAGACCATTTGTAGTGATACTTACAGATGGCAATAAATATATAAAAAGAGAAGAGGATGATAAACTTTCTTCTTTAGCATAAATGAGCTAGAGGGAGTGGGAGTAATAAAACAGAACCAAGACCTCATAGTTAAATAGAGAATTTTGGCGGATATTACTTTTTGTATTAGGTGATTCATCTATGTGATTATCTATCAGATTATTACAGTATTGGAATTTCTGGGTGGTACAGTTGGTTAAACATTCAGCTACTAGCTGAAAGATTGGCAGTTCAAGCCCGCCCAGAGACATCTTGGAAACAGATGTGGCCATAAACTTCTGAAAAGTCACAGCCTTGAAAACACTCTGGAGCAGTTCTGTTCTACATGTGCTGAGTTGCAGTGATTTGGAATTGTCTTAATAGCAACTAAAAACAGTAACAACTTTACAGTATTCAACATTGCTAACTGAAAACTGATCAAGCAGGAATCTTATGGGATTTTAATTATGAATCAAAGATTATGAGTAATCAATCCTGTTTTGTTCAGCTGAAGAATAATTGAAAAAATAAAATATTTAACAGTTTGTATTTTCATTTTTATAAATATAACCTCTTTGACACTTGTTTCATATAAATAAGCAAATGAGAATGGAAGGAACTGCAATACTGTCACTCAGATTTCTTAGCATTGTATACCATAGAGTAATTACCCTCTCCCCATATATCTTTTGGGGCTCTGGTGGCTTACTGGTAAGGAATTGCACTGCCAGCCAAAAGGTACGCAGTTCCTGTATATTCTGTCCCCACATTCCCTAAATTTTGTTGTTGTTGTTGTTGTTGTTAATTGCCAACAAAGTTGATTCTTACCCATGACAACCCCATCTAGGACTGCTAAAAAGAAATGAAGAAATAAAGCTTCCTCCCTGTAATGTTAGAATCCGGCATACTGTGATGTATTTGTCAAAACAAGTAAATTAACACTGGTGTGATACCATCAATTTGGTTCACTAATTACATTCCAATAGTTTTTTTCCACTAATGTTTTTAATCTCTCTAGGTTCCAATTCAGGACATCCCATTGCATTGAATCTCCTAAGTGTCAAGAGTTTCTCAGTTTTTCCTTGGCTTTCATGATCTTTACAGCTTTTTGTTTTATAGAATGTCAGTTTATTCTCAAGTGTGAGGAAAAAAATACTATGGAGCTAAAGTGCCCTTTCTCATTGCTTCATATTAGGGTAGATGACATCCACATGACAAATCCCTGTTCACATTAACTCTTATCAACATAGTGGTTTTTTTACCCTGGAACAAGTAGCATAGGGAAACTTTGGGTGAGTGAGGGATATGCCTTTCTTTGTAAAGTGGAAGAACAGAATATGGGAAAGTGGATATAGGAAGAGGAATTCTCAGGAAAGTCAGTTTAGAAAAAGTGCACATGGAAAATTGGAGATTTGGGCTTTGAATCTCATATATTCTTTAGGTAGTATTTAGGTTCTACAAATATCTCAAATTCAACCTGTCCAAGACTGTCTTTGCCTAATACTTTCTCCTTCCTATTTATCTTCTTGCCCTTGGTCTCAGTATCAAGTACTCACTTTCATATGTTTAGGTAAGAAGGAGCATTGATATAATTTGTGATTTCCTTTAATATCCTTACATCTAGTCTAACATTAGAGAGCTCTGGTGGCATAGCGGTAAGGAATTGCACTGCCAGTCCAACAGTACGTAGTTCAAATCCACCAGCTGCTCCACGGGAGAAAGATGGACAGTTTCCTCCCATGCGATTTATTGCCCCTGAAAACATGCAGGAGTGTCAGTTTTAAGCTGGTTTTGACTTGACAGTGCAACAACCACAGCCTACTATCATGCTTTGTTGAATCTGCATCATATTTCAAATGATTTTCAAATTTATCCACTTCTTCCCCCTTGACAGTATTACCACTGTAATGTAATCCATCACCTCATTTAATTAGCAGTTGTGTTACAGAATTTGATACTTGAAAAAAGATATATAAAGTGTATTTAAATGATGAAATATGGTAAGAAATATCCATCCAACTTAGAATATTATTAACATCATTGAAGCTGTGCTCTTTATTAAATCAGATTTCATATACTGGGTTCCAAAAAATATTAAAATACTTGCTGTTTCAATATTTGACTTTGAAGTCAGCCAAATTTTTCATATTTCCAAGTTTCAAGTTTTAATCTGTAAAAGGGAAATTCTTGAATGAGTCTTAATGATGTTGTTGTTGTTGTTATGTGCCGTCGAGTCGCCTGCGACTCATAGCGACCCTATGTACAACAGCCCTAAACTCCGCTCTGTCCTGTGCCAATCGCACTGTCTCTGACACTCCCATCCCAATTATCCCAGTCACTGAATCAATCCACCTCATAGAGGGCCTTCCTCTCCTGCGCTGTCCCTTCACCCTCCCAAGCATGATGTCCCTCTCTAAGGACCGGTTTCTCCTCACAACATGTCCAGAGTATGTTAGATGGAGCCTCAGAATCCTTGCCTCCAAGGAGCCACCCGGTTTAACCCTTTCCAGGACAAATCTGTTTGTTTTCCTAGCAGTCCATGGTATTCTCAATACTCTTCTCCAGCACCACAGCTCAAAGGCATCAGTTCTCCTTCTATCCTCCTTGGTCATTGTCCAACTCTCTGATGCATAACAGGTGATTGCGAAGACCATGGCCTGTATCAGACGCACCTTAGTCTCCAAAGAGATACCATTGCTCTTCAGCACTTTGGAGAGGTCCCTAACAGCAGACTTTCCCATGGCAATGCGCCTTTTAATTTCCTGGCTCCTGGTGCCAAGACTGTTGACTATGGAGCGAAGCAAACTAAAGCTGTGTACAATCTCAATCTCTTCACCATCCATCCTGATGCTGCCAGTTGGTCTAGTGGTGAGAATCTTTGTCTTCTTGACATTGAGCCTCAACCCATATTGTAGGCTGCAGTCCTTGACGCTCTGCAGCAGGTGCTTCAGGTCCTTCTCAGTTTCAGCAAGCAGGGTTGTGTCATCCGCATAACGCAGATTATTGATAAATCGTCCACCAATTTTGACCCCACATTTCTCCTCATAGAGCCCAGCCTTAATGATATAGTAGTTAAAGTATTTGGCTGCTAACCAAAAGATTAATGGTACAAACCCACCATCTGCTTTGTAGAGAAAGATGGGACAGTCTGCTTCTGTAAAGATTTATGGCCTTAGAAACAAAATGTGCATTTCTACTCTTTTCTCTGGGGTCACCATGAGTCACAATTTGAGTTTACTATGGGTTGATTTGGTTGCATTAGAAGCATGCTTATGCATAAGATATAGGCAAATGGCATTTAGGAAAAAATCCCATTTTATAGTTATTGATATAATGGATAGTAATTATAATGAAAATAACATGGTATAAAACATTTTCTGAGCCACATTGATGCAGTGGATGTGTCAACACAGCCAACAAGGATATGTTCCAGTGAATAGCTAGCTATCTGTCTTAAAAATTTCTTAGTGTGGCTTTCCATACTATCCACACAAGGGTCCATACAGTATTGTCCTGGTTCCTGTCATAACTTAAATGGCAAACTTCCACAAAGCCCTTGATATCCTGCACATGAAGGTGGAGG